TCAACCAGCTGTGGACACAGAACCCTCAAGGATATGGAGGACTGGTTGTAGGGAACTTGAGCACCAGTAGAATTTTTGAATCTGTGGGGAACTTGAAACCAATCTCTCTTTTCCCATCTACCCCCTTGGATACCATGGGCATCTTAGTTAAATTTGGGGGCGAGGTTGGGGGGAGGGCAGTTAGAAGTTATACATGGATTTTTGACTGTGCAAAGGGTTTGGTGTTCCTAATCCCCCACATCATTCCAGGAGTCAATTGTAGTTATTTTTTTAGGTCAGTGGTTCTGAAAGTATATTCCTTCGAACAGTAGCAGCATCTAGGAGTTTTCAGGTCCCACCTCTTAAAAACTGAATCAGAAGTTCTAGGGGTGTTTTAAGAAGCCTTCCAGGTGATTCTGATACTAAAGTTTGAGGTCCACTGTCAGATCATTTTATATAAACAGAATATTGCCATTGCATTTGCTTCATTTTATACACTCCATATTGAAGAAGTTATAATACTTATGATACACTAAAATCAGCATATAAATGGAATGCAGAGGCATTTTAAATTTATTTTGATCTATCCCTGTGGCCTTCTCTTACAAATTTAGTTTTGTGGGAAGCCCAGATGTCCTTTAGCCTTACTGATCTTACTCTCCTCTAACTGTAGTCCAAGCAGATGCTTGACCCCGACTTACAGTAACTGCAACTTGGTGATTCAGAAAATAGATCACTCTCACTTTCTCTGCTTTTCATGGTTACTCAACAAGTTCACTTAGAATTCTGCATTAAGTACCAAGTCACAGAATTTGTTATAAGGACCATCTGACTGAAAAAAAAAAATTTTTAATTCACATATGGGTCAAAGATTTGTTTCTTTCCATTTTTCTTTTTCTACTAAGGAGTCAGTTGTTTGCAAAACCTATTTAAAAACTCATTCCTCATCCACTGTTGTACACTGAAAATTTAATGTATGGAAACACCCCTGTACCTTTGATCAGTAGTTTTCTTTTTATTTAAAAAAAATTATTTTAGATCATTGCTTTCCATATAGCTTTATATTTTTCCCCACAATGTGAAATGGAAGGCAGTTGAAGATATAAAGCATTCCTTTTTTTTTTGTTTGTTTATCACATATATTTTGGTACATATTTGAGTGCTTACTAAATTAATATAGTAATTCTATTTATATAAACATTACTTAATTCTTTATTTAGAAATACAGTGAGAAAATAAGTCACTACTCTATTTGTTCTGAGCTTGTGTCTCCTTTATATCATCATGTCTAAAATTAGTGCATTTAGAAGTTTTTGATTTTTTGATTATGGTATAGAAGAACAAGTACAGTGCAAAGTTTCCTGAACTTAATTTTTTTGGCCTTTTGTTTTTAGTGAAATTCTAAGTTCTTAATGTGTGATAGTTGATAAGATTTGTATAGGAGAAATTAATTTAATTAATTAATTAATTAATTTTTTTGTGGGACCCTCGCTGGCGGCCGGGGAACGAACCGGCGCTGCAGAGGCTGTGGGCAGCCTTGCAGCCCAGCGCTCAACTGCTGCGCCACCAGGGGAGGCCCTATAAGAGAAATTTTAATGATTTAAATTCTACACAAGGGATAAAGTCACTATTGCACATTGAAATTTTAATGTATGGAAACACCTGCATAAGTTTTGGAAGGATGTATTTATATATCTGTGGGAAGCAGCATATTGTATCATTTAAAAGCTGAAACTCTGACATCAGACTGCCTGGGTTTGAACCTTTATCTTGAGCAAGTTACCACTGAATGTCACTGTGTTTCAGTGTGTGTACACTGTGTGTGATAGGGATAAGAACAGGCACACACTACCACTGGATGAAGCTAAATGTGCTAATGTTATTATATGTAGTGGTGGAATTGGAGGTGATGCTGTCATTGCTGCCCCTAGGAGTTTGTGTTGTCTTGTTATTTATAACAGCAAAAGAAAAAAACCTCTGGTAACCAACACCGGGGAAAGGGACTCCATTGTGTGCTATGGAGTACACAGATATGTTGTGTCAAGAAAAGATACTCGTTGTCTACTTAGTGAATCAGGTGAAGACGGTACAGGTGAAGCAGTGATGCTTAAGGGAATGTGTATGCACAGAAGAATAATCAAGAAGCCAGTCACAAAGCTGAAGTTGTTCAGTTTTGTTTTGTTTTTTCTTCCTTTGAGTAGGTTATAAGAAACCTTTGCTTTTCCATTGTGCATTTCTGCACTTTAAAAAATTTCAGTGACTACCTTTATGAATTTATGAACAGAAAGGTTAAGGACCAAAAAAGCACTGGATTAATAACATTTCATTCATATAGTCTGTTATAAATATGTTAATTGTGTATGATAGATGTACTACATGATTTTTAGCTCATTTATAGAAATATCAAAGTATCAAAAGACAAGATATTTCTTCATTAAGTGTTCACTGAGCAATTACTCATAGTAACTCTGAATTAAAAGGTGAGTGTCCTGGGTCTTGCCAAGACAGACTTGTAAATAAGTAATTACAGCTTTATCTGTTATATGCTAATAAAGAATAGAAGAGGAAACTAATCATTTTGGGTGGGTTAATCAGGAAGGGCTGAATTGAAGAGGTGACTTATAAATTGTGTCTTGCAAGACTAATATAAATTTGTAAGGGGGAAGGGCAGAGGGATGTCTGTGATAACAGGAACAGCACATATAAAAGATGGCATGATTTTCTGAAAAGTTGTGGGCAGGAAACTGGATATGTAAAGAAGACCTAAGAGGTGAATCCAGCTGGCATTTTCCTTTTGGTTGTGGAGAACATGGTAAATGTGTTTTCATAAGATGCTGAGTGGCATGAAAGTTTGTTGGTATTTAAGAAGAAAAACCTGGTGATTTATTAGCTAGGAAGACACTTAGAATGAGCAGAGATGCAGTGAAGAAGTAAACTGTCATGATTGAAACAAAGCGATGGTAACTATTGATGACTGGATTCTTAGACTGAATTCTTAGAAATGGACTGAAACAGATCAGAGACATTGTAAGTGAAATCTACAGAATCAGGTAGGTGGAGCAAATAGGCGAAGTTGGTTTGCATCCAAGATACAGTTCTTCATTCCAACTCAGGCAACTATGGTAGAGAGGGATCCTGTTATAACAGGCAGGGAGCCCATGTGTTGGAATCTCTAATGAGGTCGCTTGGGTTGTTGACTTGAGGCTCCTAAAAACATGCAGTGACTCTGTTGACTTGATCATCATTATGCTTTCTTAGGAACTTAGGATTTTCAAAGATGATTACTTGTTCTTAAAAAGTATTTTGGAGATGAGCCATCTTCATAATTAATGTTAGTTAACTGGTAGTTTCAGTTTTAGAGGATCTCTTCTCTTGGTGGGGAATAGAGATCAAATTGCCAGTGAATGCTATTGAGAAATTTGATTTATCTTAAGTTAGTTTGCTTCCAATTCATTGTTTAGGAAACTTGAGGTTCCCACAGCAGATTCCACCTCTGGACCTAGTTAGCATCCAGAACTTGGTGGGGGGCTTCCTGGGGACAGAGCATTCCAGTTCATATATCTGTGCTTCTTAACGGGGAGACCTTTGACAGTAAAATAGTAACAAATTGGTCTGTTCCTGATGAACTAGCTTAAATGAACTAGCTTAAATTAGGACTTTGGGTCCTATGGGCATGTGTGTGAGCGGGTCTGCTTAATGAACGTCACTTAGCATAATTCAGAAGGCTGACTTGGATGGCCAGTATAGAACAAAGGCAGTTGTTCCCATTTTGCACGGGAATCATATTTAGTTTCTGGTCTCAGATGTGGGAGATAAATTTTTTTAATAAGTAGTTATAAGGAAAAATGGTTCGGGAATTAGGCTGCTGGGTTAGAGTATCATCTCTGACAGTAACTGGCCCTGTGATGCAGTATCATACTGAGCTACTCTGTGCTTCAGTTTCTTTATTAGACCAGAAATAATACTACTGTTTATGTCTTTGGTAGTTGTAAGAAATAAATTAGTTAATGTACATAGTATACTTGGAACAGTGACCAGCACAAATGGTAAGCACACAGTTCATGTGGGTCCACAGATGGAAACATTTTAGGCATGGATTCAGCCTCTACAATTTACACTTTCTTCTCCTGACTCCTGGTGGGGATGGAAAGTGGAAGGGGCATGGGATAGTCAGGGAGATGAGGAAATATGCCTGCATGTAGTGATTTATTCTGGACTTCTCTTTTCATTGCAGTTATTACCTCCCAAAAGCAATTGTAGAGTCCCTACTACCCTCCTAAAGATAGAATCAGCTTCTTAAAACTTACTGCATTCTTTTGTCCTATCTCCCAGGTATAGTTTCCTTAACATGTAGCTTGAAATGGACTTTATTCTCTCTCTCTTCCTGGGAAATTTGCCTTCCAACAGTTCCAATGCTTAGCCTGTCCCTGTCCAAGCCTGTGACAAACTTAGAATTCCAACCACAACCCCCACCTCCTTGCAATTTCTGGGCTGCTTAAAAATAGGTTGCTTTTAGACCATAGTTTTCTTCTTTAAAGTTTTTTTGGTGTGAGCCAGTCACATAAATAATGGATATAAATGGAGCCTGGCAGACTTAGCTAAAGCATGCTTTATGTTGAACAGAATGTTTATGATAGTTTAGATGTTCTGAAAACATTTGCATGTATTCTTATTAAAGAACTTTGGACTTCCTAGGAAGGACTCTCTCAGAACTGATGGCTAGAGCACTTTGTGTCTTGTACTGTCAGTAGTAATAAATATATGCCCTCCGAGAGGGTTTTTCGAAACTCTCTTTTTTCCAATCGGTATCTTTGGGGATATAGATTTTATTACTGGTGGTATCTTTTTATTAGAGAAGAATCAAGTATAAAGTAAACCTTCTTCTCTGAACACATGTTTAATTCTGTCTTAATAAGTCATTTTATGTCAAGATGTGTTTTCTTTTTAAATTACCATCCTTCCCACATTTTTTAGGTGCACCAAATAAAAACCAACCATGATGTTTGTTTCTGTATTTTTAGGTCCTCTTCCTGATGGATGGGAACAAGCCATGACTCAGGATGGAGAAATTTACTATATAAACCATAAGAACAAGACCACCTCTTGGCTAGACCCAAGACTTGACCCTCGTTTTGGTAAAGGTTCATCTCAAAACCTTTTTAGATTTTTTTTTACTACTATTTTTTTTTGTATGTGAATTTGGGAAGGTTACATTAAATAAAATTAATTACATTGCTTTATAGTATCGAAAGATGACTGCCCACCCAACTTTTCAAGTGCTATTTTTAAATTTATTTTTATACCTTTCACTTTAAACTTGAGAAACTGAGGTCTAAATCCTCTTTTTTAGCTTGGACTCCTGGGATGGGGCTGGGTAAATGTTTTGAGGGTTGACTATCCAGGAGGATCACTGTTCCTTTCCCATTTGGGGAGAGAAACAGTGATCTTTTTTAAAGTGATCTTTCTGGCTGCAGTAGTAATCAGGCTGTCACACTGCATCTGAGACCTGGGGCACTGACTTTGTCAGTGCCTGGGTCTGCTTAGGCTTAGCTTCAGAGAACAGAGAGGACCCCCTGTGTCCAATGCGGTGGTGTGTGCTATCCTGAGTGGGGGCAACCCTGTCACCCTGGAGGTAGTCCAATGAAAGCATTTTCTCCTTTTCTTCTGGCTTTTTTCTCTCTCTTTTTCTAAGTGAAGGTCTTTGTTTTTCATTTTAGGATACAGAAAGCAAAACCATATTCCCCTCCATATCCCATGGATAAATCACCATTTGCACAAAGGAATGCTCTCCTTCCCAAATGTGCACATTTTGATAATATTATACAAGTTTTTTAGTGCCTTTTTATCCCTATTTTTCACTGTTTTCAGTTTCTTCAGTGGGGTTTCTGAGATATTTTTCCAAAGCCATGGAAAAATGAATCTAAAAAGGAGCAGACCGTTGTGGTTTTGAAGCTTTCGTCTTGGACTGGATGCAGCTAAATGAAAACAATGTGCAGATCACTGAGTGGGTCAGGCTGAGGGGACGGGAGCCTTTGAAGCTTCCCAGGGGTTGACCCAACAACAACTGTGGGGCCCTTCCGGGAAAGAGGAATTAACTCTGTGAATGCCAGAAAAATAGCCCTGGGGGAGGAAGGAAAAAGAAAAACTTCCCTGTTGGGAACATTATGAGCAGTTCTCCTGTGTCTTATGTGTACCTCAAACAACCTAGTGGTCAGCTTTCTGCACTGATTGAAACATACCCCCCACCCCCTCTCTTTCAAGTCAAGTCAAAGGTGGACAAGGGCAGGGACTGGCATTTTGACAGATACCCTGATTGGCTTAAGTACTAGCCTTTTGAACTTCAAGACCTATTTGGGTGTTAAAAAAGTAATGTGGCATGTTAATAATTTGCAACTTCAGATTCTATTTAATAGCTGAATAAGCCCATGTGGTTGAAACAGGAGACCAAGTAAGGTAGAGAATTTAATAAAGGTTGCCAGTAGTATGGACTAGAATGATAACAGCCATGTTTCCTTTAATCATCTTTAATAAAATGAATTTAACTTGTCCACATTTTGGAAATTTTAAAAAATGGTACTGTGGTTATTTACCCCCAACATAAGATTATGAAAGACAATGATTAACTCTTAGTTATTGCAGAAATTGGAACAAAGCTCTTTTTTTTTTTTAATATTTTCATTTAAAACCACAATAAAGTGACTTGGCTATAAGCGTAAGTGGAGCCATTAATTACACACACAGTTTGGTCTTTTGTTTTAAAAATGGGGAAAGTACCAAAGAAAATTTCTCCTTCCCTACTACCTCTAACCTCTGTACACACAAGTATACAATTAGATATACCCCAAAATGTCTCATAAATCCTCTTACTGCTTTTAGTTTTCCTTTTGGGGCCCACTATGTATGTGTATTCCAGACAGACTTGACAACTTGCCAAAGCTTTTTATTTTGTGGCCCGACTTTTAATCTGTTCCAGACCTTTTCAGTCAGAGAGCTCAAGTGTAACTGGAGGGGGGCAGGAAAGAAAAAAAATGTGGGTTTCTCTGATCTAGAGTGACAGCAAATAGAGACAAGCTGTTAGCTGCTGCATTTGGAGTTTTCCTTGAAATCTCAAGTTCTATAGTGGATTGTGTTTTATCTCTGCCAAATAAATATAAACTATCCCCTTTTTGACCCTTTGAGCCATGCAAACACTAACAAATGGTAGGTTATTGCTTCCGTGGTTGTGGAGTTTGCTTGCCTATATTCCCAAAATCTGTAGTATTCATGTATTTATCAATTGTTGGTCAAGTTGACCTGTGTCTTTGACATTTTAGAATGGAAGACATGCACTGCTGTATAAACTTAGCTTTCATCACTCGTGTGCTTCAACGCTAGCCTCTTTCGTATTTCTATGTGTGATGCTTTAATTATATTTAGAATTTTATCTACCAGTTCTTCCATCCCAGATGAAGTTAATCCATATAATTTCAAGAAATAAAATAGTAATTTGTCATGGATTATTTTTTTTACCTGCTTTTCTTTTTCCTTAATATATAAAAACTACTTGTCTTTGACATTTATATTGTTTTAGAGAATGTGTTAGTAATTTGTGACATAAGTGATATCAAGTGGCAATAAGATTCCTTGGTATATGTGTTGGCTTTGATAAAAGGAGGACTTTTATTTGTGTGCTTTTAATGGATCAGATTAGGAATGTTTTTACCCTGTATTGAAGAAAATTGACCCTTGAGTATTATACATGCCTTTGAATTATTTAATATAAACACTGTTTTATGGAGATTTTATGCTAGTAACATGAAGAGTCTCAAGTTTAAATATTTTCATGTATGTTGTAAAATTTGTTTTATGTAGTCACATGAATATTTTCTAGTAAAAGACCTAATGAAAACACAAAAAAAATTCTAATTCCTAATCTTCAGAATGAAAGGTCTACTCCAATACACTGATAGACAGTGAAGTTAGTTTTTATGTAATACTCTTTGTTGTTTGTATAAAAGGACATATTAAATAGTGTGGGTAATCTGTGTTTCTGAAAATAAGTGCTTGATGTGCCACCATTGATAAAAAAAAAATATTTGGTGCAAACAAAACATTGGAACCGAAGATTTGTGTTAAAAAGTTTTATCTTTTGACTGTTAAGGGAAGTAATGGACAATCTAGTGTGGCCAAAAAAAAAAAAAGCTCCTTTAATTTCCTAACAATAGTTCTGGACCTAGAAATTCTGTACATGGAAATTGTCAAAGGCATTGAAAACTCATTTTCACTTTACTTAAAAGTTTCCCAAAAGTTGTTATATTCGTGTGTGTAATATAATACAATTAAAAGAAAAGTAATATACACACATTATAATCTAAATCCCCAAGCCAAAAACTGTTCAGCACATCTATCAAAGTTAAAATACTTTGCATCAGTAATTAGAGATCTTTTAAAAATTTTTAAATTATGCTTTCATTGACCTTTAATGGGAAAGTGTTTCCGATAACTGTTTTAAGTATTATTTTGGTGACAGTGCACATAATCACCAACTCAGTACTTACGTCTGTTCTGTTCAAGATGAGAACTAACACGAAAGGCTGTAGACCATAAATGTGTTAACTCCATTAATGGAGTCTTGGGCAGATAGATTGTCTGCATTTAATCATTTGAAGTTGATTGAAGCAATTCCATCGATAACCTTGCTTTTTCTTTTCTTATCCTCTATTAAATCTTTTCTGGTCATCCTAAATTGTAAACAGTCTTTGGTTGTGGACTCTACAATTAACTACTCTGTGTCAGGAGGAAAAGATGTCTCTGTGTTTTAGGTAAAAAGGACTATTGCTAACTAAAAATTATTAATAAAATTCACCAAAAAATGACCTTGAAAAAGAATTTATAACTCATCTAATCAACATTTCTCAAAAGGGGTTGGAGGATATTCTGGGCACTGTGAGACATTGAACATCCCTGCCTCTAGCCCACTAAATACCATAATGTCACCAGTCATTGTTACTTCCCAGATCACCAAAACATGTTTTAAAGAACTGCTGGGAGATCTAGGGAAATTGAGCCTAGCCAAAGTTATATATTTAAGTATTTAAGTTAGAATCTGTGGTTCTTTATCTTTTGATGCTTATAATTTTTTTAAGATTTATTTATTCATTCATTCATTTATTTATTTATTTATACATTTATACAAGCACTGGGTACAGTCAGAAGCTCAGGAGGGTGAGAGCATTCACCAGAGCCAAAGCGGGGAGCGGAGCAGGCAGAAGGACTGAAGTACACTGCTGAGGGGAGCAGTGGGCGGCAGGAGAGGTCTTCGTGCTATGCGGGACCCTCCTCCGGTGGCCAGGGAGCAGCCGGGGATCGAACCGGTGCCGCGCCAGAGGCTGCAGGCAGTTTCGCAACCCAGTGCTCAACCACTGCGCCACCGGGGAGGCCCTTGATGCTTATAATTTTTAAGAGATTTAGATTGATGTGATTAGTTTTTGAGATCTACACCTAACCCACCAATACCAATACATGGCTATTTCAGAGGGATGAAGACGGTGAGTACTTACATGCTCTGTTGTGACTCATGCTCGGAAGTTAGCCAAAGGCAATGACTTTCCAGTTATGAAAGAGAGAATTATAAAATCTCTTGCGAGAGAACTGACCATGAAGCCATTTAGTTAAATTACCCTGCTTCACTTCTTTCATATTCTTAAGAGTGTCTTCTAAAGAACCTCAACTCTGATCTTTCTTTTGACTGGTACTTACCACATTACAAGGGAGTCCATTCTATTTCAGGAAAGTTCCAGTGGCCGGACTATATATGTTCCTTTTTTACCCAGAAATGTACTTCCCTTCAAATTTGTGAGTACATGTCTATTTCCACAAATGTTCTCTTATAGCTGTCATTTCTCCCCACTACCTCCCTTTTGAGAAACGTTCATTAGAGGAATTACTATTTTCAAGGCCAAATTTTGTGAGGTGAGGTTTATCTGTTAATAAGTTTTAGTTAGCAGCTGCTCTTCATACCTAAAACACACTGAAATATCTTTTCCTTCCATCCTTAGTAGTTAATGATATAGTCCACAATGTAATATTGAGAATTTAGGATGATGAACTAAGAATTCTGGTTTCTTTACTTGCCACTTCCTTCTCTGGATGCTTT